AAATTTAAAATGAAATAAACACCACCGCCATGAGTCGAACTTCTATTTTGAAACGGCAGCCGGCGTAGCAAACCAGCGTCAATTCTGCTTGCCACGGGCAAGTGCTACGAAGGGGTGGCCACTCGCTTATGGGGTGAGTTATCACCTATTTCGGTAAACCCTGACACCAGACGTGTGCACTCTGCACATATGGCGATGGAAAAATGATAGGGGTGGGGATGGGATGGGCCGCGGCGTGATGGGATTGGATAGTTTTGATTGCTATGGGACACATTTTGAGGAGCCGAGCAATGTACCACTCTCCTTCCCAGAGGGCGGCCGAAGGGAGGTGGTAGGGTTGGGGGGTTGGCGGGAGGATGGAAGGGAGGGAGGGAGAGAGGGAGGGAGGGAGGGAGTGGGTGGGGGCTGAAGGGATCAGGGACCCTGGGTGGCGAGGGGGGCTAAGGGTTTGGTATTGGAGCAGGACTGGTGGCAGAGTGGGTGGGCAAGCGGCGGACGAGAAAAAATGCAATTGTGTGAGCGACAGCGGGAGAGGTTTGTCGCGTGGCGCGCACCCCATTTATCGGTTCACTGCTGGATAAAAGTCCCTACGGCACCGCAGTTGTGTGGCCACACTTCACGGGGTCGTGTGGCCACACCTCACGAGGTCGTGTGGCCACACTTCACAAGGTTCAGTGGCCACACTTCACGGGGTCGCGTGGCCACACTTCACGAGGTCGCGTGACCACACTTCACGAGGTTCAGTGGCCACACTTCACGAGGTCGCGTGGCCACACCTCACGAGGTTCAGTGGCCACACTTCACGAGGTCGCGTGGCCACACCTCACGAGGTCGCGTGGCCACACATCACGAGGTCGCGTGGCCACACCTCACGAGGTTCAGTGGCCACACCTCACGAGGTCGCGTGGCCACACTTCACGATGTCGTGTGGCCACACTTCACGAGGTTCAGTGGCCACACTTCACGAGGTCGCGTGGCCACACTTCACGAGGTTCAGTGGCCACACTTCACGAGTTTCATTGGCCACACCTCACGGGGTCGCGTGGCCACACCTCACGGGGTCGTGTGGCCACACCTCACGAGGTCGCGTGTCCACACTTCACGAGGTTCAGTGGCCACACTTCACGAGGTTCAGTGGCCACACCTCACGAGGTTCAGTGGCCACACTTCACGGGGTCGTGTGGCCACACTTCACGAGGTCGCGTGGCCACACTTCACGAGGTTCAGTGGCCACACTTCACGAGTTTCATTGGCCACACCTCACGGGGTCGCGTGGCCACACCTCACGGGGTCGTGTGGCCACACTTCACGAGGTACCGAGGCTCCCGCACAAAGCCATGCGGGAGGGCGTGTGCCACAGTTTGGCGCCAGCTGTCGTAGAGTGCGGTGGTCGTGTCGCTACAGTTCTCTGCGGGTGGGCACAACGTCTTTAAAAATGACGGCGCCACTACTACGCCTCTCGCAATAAAATTAACGCCGAACCGCTCGCACGTTCCGAGATTCGGCGGCGAGTAGGACACTCGCGCACCCTGCAACTTCATCGGAATGGTGGAAAGGATTAAGAGCATCACGCTTGCGCACCATAAGGGAGCTACCCGGCCCACTGAACGAGCGAGGCGTGCTTGCTCGGGGCGCCACCGCTCCAAGTAAAACAAAAAAAAAACTGCCGTGGAAAATCTTCAACGGGCATCATCCGCCTGGGTTTACAACCCAGCCTCGGCTGGCCTGACTTTCAGTGCAGCGTCGTCGGCATAGAAACGCAGCACACGCGTGCTTAGAGAGTGGTAGTGCGTTTTGCGAGCTGGTGGGTCGGTCTTGCAGGAGAGGCTATTTTGGTGAAGGCGGGGGGTGGGTTGGGGTTGGGAAGTGGGGGGGGGGGCATGGGGGAATGGGGGGCGTGTACGGGTGAGTGACCACAGCAGCGTGAGTGATGCCCAGGATAATGGAACACCTCGGCCCCTCCTTAAAGGAGTTGGGGAAAAAGCTGATTGAGTGTGCGTGTCAGGGGCTTATAACGGCATGGAATCTGTAAAGGTTTTTATTTTTGTGTGTGTGCTGGCTCCAGTCGCAATGTGTGTACACACGTCTCGGTGCACGTTAATGGTTGCCTCTTGTAACGCATGGCGGGGATGATCGCGACTGGCCGACCGAGTGAGCGACTTGAGCGATGAACGTTTCTCAGTTACTTTACAGAAGGGCTACAGAGCTAAACATTTTGGCAGGCGTACGGCCAAACGTTCGTTTCTAACGGGGGGGATTTTTATACAAAAATGTTGTAAAATAGGTCCCCAATAATCAAAAACGGACGTTGATTGATTTTACTCACAAGCTATTGTTGGCCCACATTCTCTAATTTCTTTAAGCCTCGTTTCTAAACACTTAAAATTATAGAATCCCGATCGCCTGTGAACACTGGCCAGTGGATTGTGACACTACAGCCAATAGAGAGCAGGTAAAACCCGCTTCTGATTGGTCGCAAACAACCGAAGCACCTTAACGCTCTTACGAAGTGTTTTGAGGCGCACACTATGCACGGGATATCCTAGGAATTGACCCGCCTCATTGTGGGAAAAATGAAGAGCAAGGGGAAGGTGGCTAAACAAGGGACCTCTGTCTGTGTCCCCGGTGTGATAGTGTGTTAAATGCCCGGGCTATTACAATGACCGAGTGGCAGTTCGGTCAGTATCTGCCTCCCTCGAAATATGTACACGTCACTATCCGTCATGTTGCGCGCGTTCGGAGGGATCTGCTCCACCAGGGAATTCACATTTAAGGCATAGAAGGCACGGGCGTGGTTCCTGTGGCTCACCGCTCAAATAAATCAGGAGAGCCGACAGGTAGAACAATGTGAGGGGGAGGGCAGGCTGGGTAATATGGCTGAGAATTGAGACAAAGTTGACTGGCATTACATCCCTTAATAGCCCGTGGCATACAGGAAGCAACCTTGGAGGTGTCTAGAGGGTGCGCTTCGCTGAAGGACAAGTTTTATTACTTTTTTTTTACCATCATGAGCGGTTTCCGAACCAATAAAGCCCACTATGGTGGAGATAATAATACTCGAGATCAGTTCAATGGTGCAGCCCGTCGGACGCATTCAAGGTGCCCAAAATGCTCTCGAAAAACCCGAGTGAAATTCTCCCCGTGTCCCTACTGTGCAGATCAATCATTCTCATCTCAGCGGCAGGCTTTTGCAAAAATGTTGGGAAATTGAAACCCCCGCATTACGCCGTAAATGGGATCAATGCCAGGGTGTGTCTTAAGTAGAGTCGAGTTCAAAAGAGACGCGTAGGGGGATCTGAATGTTCCACTTTTATAAAGAGCTTCATCACGCCCGTATGAACCGAACAATTGCTTTCCCACAGCAATAATAGCAATAATAAATGCCCTTTATGCAGGAAAACCTCAGCGAGTCTCAAAACTATCTCTCAGGAGGGTCCGGTCTTCATGAGCACCACGGTGGCAAAATGTTAACTACCTCGCCCGGTATACAGGAGGTCGTGTATTCAATCTCGACCCTGCTGCTTGCTGTATATTTCGAATTTGCATGTTCTCCCCGTGGTCGCGTGAATTTTTCTCCCGGATCCTCCAGTTTTTCCCCTCCACATTTAGAAACAACGTGTGTTTAGAGTAATTGGCTGCTAGAAATTTCCACGTGATAAGCCACTTCGTTGAGCTCTCATTTGTGGCCAGGTCGCATCTGGAAAAAGAGCATCGTAGTTCAGTCGGCCTTCTCTGGTAAAATAAAAATAGTTTAGTTAAAATTTAAAGTTTGCCAAATGTATGTTTGTTGAACTTCTTTCGCACTGTACGTAGATGACCATGTTCATCGGAGGCGTGGGGGAAGTACAACAAAACCAAACACACAAAAACAACTGTTCCTAAGATATGAGTTTTAAATCTCGATTTTTCTTTTAAACATATTCATGGGCATTTGACACGTCAAGGTACACCGGAGAAAACCCCACTATGCATACGAGTGGCTAAATCTTAAATCTCCACACAGTTAGAATTCATACAGATATATCCAACAATCATTTTGCTGTCGTGCCACCGTCTTCTGGCCGACTGATAGCTCAGGCCAACAACGCAATTGACATTCCGAGGAAGTTTAACATCCTCGCATTAACCAGGCTTAACTGTGCTCAACTTCTGAGATCTATAGAACAGGCGTCACACGCTCGAGGCGATTTAGCCAGAGAAAATTACCCAAAAAATATAATCGAGTGTGGGGGAAATCATAACACGCGTGTTTTGCCAAGTTCACCTTAAATTCACACTCGCACAAACTGAATCCCAACCGTTACCAAAATCATCACGTCACTTCGCGTCTGACAGCTGCATTGCAAATCCGACCTCCCGCCAGTTCAGGGGGTAAAATTCGCCAGTTCGATCGCCCACCACAGCATTTGAAACGGTGCAATTATCTTCAATTCCATCGCCTCCGTTCAGCCAGCGACAGAAATAGTTTCACCTTTGTCCAGTGTGGAAGAGGAGGCCCAAATACCCTCCAGAGAGGGGGGGGGGCTGACTAGAACGCCCTCTAGTGGAGGCGCTTCTACCAACAGTGACGTGAGCAAGCACTTGCAGGGCTATACCTTCACCTTCAACCATTTGAAAGCCACAGTCGTTCACTCGTGCGGTGACCCGGTGGTTATCGCGCTGCGCTACTACGAGCCCGGTGATCCAAGTTCAATTCCCGCTCATGACCAATAAAAGTGGCGAATATATTTGAAGCGGCCCTGGGCGATTACGAGGCAAACTCAGCCTCAAATTAATACCTGGTGCGGCGTGTAAACATCGGCACCGGGGAGACAAAGGTGGACGGGCGCGGTGCTGGCCACCAACCCCACCGTGCGCCATCGCCGCCTTAATGGGGCACTCCTCGGCTAACGGCACTGGCCCCCAACAGTCTGCGAAGACTCTGAAGGGGGGGGGGGGGTGGAGGGTAATCTTTGTCTTTGTGCGTGCGTGTGCGCGCTCGCTGTGTCGGCACGGAGCAGGTGATCGAGTGCGTGTCGGCCGGCCGGGTGCTGGAGCGTCCGCGTGCCTGCCCCATGGAGGTCTACAACCTCATGCTGGGCTGCTGGTGTCGCGAGCCGCACATGAGGCTGGACATTCGGACCATCCACGGGATCCTCCAGGAGCTCAAGGACAAGTCGCCCATCTACATCGACGTGCTCGGATAGGGCGGCAACCGCGGGCCTTCGATAAGTAAAGAGATAAGACGGGTGGAAAAATTTTGAGCGCGCGAGAGAACTACATTGAAACTCGAACTACGGGAGTGCGTGACGAAACCCCAGAGATCCTCTCCCCCCCCCCCCATGCCTCCCGCGATGCCCCCCCCCCCTCTCCTGGTTCGCCACTTTATTTACCCGTAATAACGAGGAGACAAAAGTGGCATAACAAATTCCCCCACGGTTCTCCCACGTGTTTGTAAAGAAAAATATATATGGAAAAAAGCTGCCAATTATATTTAGCTACTTGCCACGAAAAAACCAAGCAGAGTCCTGGCAACGAGAAGTGTTGGGCGGGGATGGGTGGAGGGGGGAAGAGTCAGTGGGCGGGAGGGAGGAGTAGGCACGTTATTTTATGTTTTGTTTATTTGTCAATGTCTGGGGGGGGGGGAGAGATTTTCAGAGTAAACGTTATCAGGAGTTTTATAAAAAAAAAAAATCTAATTCTGGGGGGTGGGGGTGGTGGGGGGGGGGGGGGGGGGGAACTTTGGAGGACCGGGGGATAAAAAGGTTTTTAAAAAGTCGCATTTCGGGTCAATCAGTCCTGACTTAGTCTCCTTGGCCGAAACGTTTGTTTCTTTAACCCGCCTCATCCCCCCCCCCTACGCAACGCCGACGTATCATCCCTCCGTACTCTCCATCGTGGGGTCACCGGAGCAAAACAGCGACGCATCGATCGTGAGTGGGTGGGGGGTGGGGGGCGGGGGGCGGGGGGTGGGGGGTGGGGGGAGAGCAGAACCGAGACGACGATCGTGCGCACGCAAGTTCAAGGCCCCGTAAAGCCGTCGTATATTTATTTAGCCACTTGCCCCTGGCCTCTTTTCACATAGGCTACTCGCTAAATAAACATACAGATATAACAAAAGGGCGTCGCACGCGCGCGGTGGAGGTGGTGGTGGAGTCTTCGCCCGTGCGAAACCCAAACCGGGCCTCACCGCTGCCGTGCGATACAACAAAAACGACAGCGAGCATCCCGCCGTAACCCCGTTCATGAGAGGGGGACCATCAGCGTCGTTGGTGACGTCCGCTCGTCATCGTTGTAGCTCAAGGGGGGGGGGGAGGGGTGGGGGGAGGGGTGCGATCATCGTTAGCCAGAGCGGGACGCTTAACGACGTGCCGGAGAGGGTGGCGAGTAAGCTGTAGACACCTCGCATGCCACCCTGGGCGTCCTTTCGTGGTGTGCACTTTAAATTGGGTCCCCCCTCCCCCGCCCGCCCGCCCCCCCCCGATTCTCCGCTTGTCAAAAAAAAACCCGGTGCCAACACGTGCGAAATTGGAAAAAGTTAAACGAATTTATTAATTCAATAAATAACTTACGGGAAGGGGGGGGGGGGCAAGGAATGTCAAAAGCGCAGGGAGCAGGAAAAATGTCGTCGTCTTAATTTCATCCTCCGTAACACCATCCCCACCCCCCCCCCCCCCCCCCCCCGGGAAATTTCCAAGATGCATCAGCGGCGTCGATCGCGCCCGTGAGTAGCCGCGGCGAGTGCCCGGGCACGGGCAGGAGGAAGCGTGCGGCAAATCAGCGGCAACTCGCGGAGCGCGCCGATTTCACGGAAACAAAAAAGTGGAACCAATTGGGAATTGTGCGCTCGTGCGGAGGGCCCAGGTCGTGACGGCGCCCGCCCGCCCGCCCGCCCTCCCACCAGCTCATCCGCCCGCCCGTCCGCCTCCGGCTGACCCCCCTGGCACTCTGCAATTCCTCATGAGATTATTTTCTTTCTTAATAGCGTCCGTCACTTTCCCGGTGGCCGTGCGGCTATCGGAAGGAGGAGGGTGAGGCAGACAGCCGAGCAGACCGAGCGACCGTTGGCGACGCGCGACTTCTCTTCGATTAGCATGCAGTCGCCTACTCCCGTGACAGTACGATGAATGGCGGAATGTGCGGTGGATGCCTACGCGCTACCTGCCCGTGGATCATGGCGATGATGATGATGATCCGTAATAGAGGTTCTTTCAGGGTGAGATCGCGCAAATATATAAATGTGTCGTTAAACCCGCCACCACCCGACACAGCCAATTAGTAAGATTTGTCACGTAAACAGAACGTGGCCAGTTCGTCACGAGTACAGCCACACCGGTTGTGCGTTGAAGAGCCAAGCCACGACGTTTACAATCCGAGTACGACGTTTTGCGAGTAATTACAACTATTAGAACAAGACGATTGTAAATGTTGTGGCTTTGGCCCTGCATCACACCGGTGTGCTGTACTCGTAACGAATTGGCCACGTTTTGTTTACGCGACAAACCTTTCCTAATTGGCTGTGTCAGGTGGTGGCGGGTTTAACGACACATTTATATATTTACGCGATCTCACCCAAAAAAACTCTGTTATCGATGATCTTGGTCGCGAAAGCCTCCCCACGCGTTACACTGATGATGATGACGGCGATGAACTAACCGCCATCGCTCGCCCACGCTGCTGGTTGCGCGCTAACTGGCCGGCTGAAACATCGACCCCCCCCTCTCCCACCCTACCCCTCCTCGTCCCCGCAACGATTAGCACCGTTGGCTATGTACGGTGAAAAAGAAGCTCAACATGCTCACAAAAGGGCAGCGCACAGGTAGACTCACCAACACAGCCCGTGACGATTCCCCCCCCCCCCCTTCGTCTACTCCGGTATGATGCGACGCATCTCAAGCGAGTCCCAATCTGAGCCGCAAACCCAATTAAGGCAAAACAAAAGGAAGTAATTCGATAACGTAATGTCCATCCCGCCGACACACACACACCAAACCGCAGCGTGTGGTGTGTGGTTCGGCGGGATATTCGATTAGTGAGTGGTTCTGAGGGGCATGGGGCGGGGGGCGGGTGGGGGGGGGCAGGTGAATTGCCATTGAAAACTACACTAAAAATAATCAAAGGAAACGCAGCACTTTAGTGGAGCGACCATTCACAATGCTGGCTGCCTGTGGGCCTTGCGGCTTCCCATGGCTTTGATTTTGCATACCGAGTTCGAGGGGCAGCCCTGTAGCTTGACCTTGTTTAAAAGCGGAGGGCGGGGGGGAGGGGGCGGTTGCGGTGGAGCGGTTCGGTGGATGGGGGGGGGGGGGGCGCTACAAAAACTCAGGGGGGGGGAGGTGCGACACAGTCAACGTGAAACAACCCCCCCCCAAAGAAAGAAGATGTCGAGAACGTGACGAGCAACGATGGGATCCGCTTTTGTCTATCGTGCTCTCCGCCCTGGCTCCTTAACCCCCTCCCCCCCCACCGCACCGTGCGTACGAGGAAAGGCTCCGATGCCCGTCGCTTCGCTGTTACTCACCCTTCGCATTTCGATGCATGCGGTCCCCATCCGAGTACCCGCGGGCGCTTTGTTTATCAAATAAATATGAGCTCGAGTTTGTGTATCGAAAAGTGCAAACTTGAGAGTCGCGTGTTGCCCCCTCTCCCCCCCCCACGCACGCACGCGTGGGCTCTCTCCGGCCGCTCTGGTTTTCCGCCCCCGTATCAACGCTCGTCATGAATTGGGCCGACAACACCCGGATATGTAGAGGACCGCACGAACTTGGGCAACTGTTGCTAGCGCCGGCTGACCGCTCGGTTACCTGTGGTTCGTCCTCGCGCCTCAAAGTCACAGGCGTTGTGCTGGACACCTGTAAAAAAAAAAATATAACTTTATAGCTCATCGGACTCCTCCCAGTATAGATGAAGATTCTTGTTCACGCTATGCGATCAGAGAGCGAGTAAGCGAATTCCGCGCTGCGTCTTTCAAGTTGATGTTATTGTTGTTGTTGTTGTTTTGATTCTATAAAGGAAATTAGAAGGGGGATGAACCGTTGCCATCAGAAGGGGGTGGGGAGGGGGGGGGGGAAGGGGGGCTCACACCCCCCCTTCTCCTCCAGCTCCGACGCACATGACTAACAAGTTGCCAACGCTGCTCGGACAAAGACTGGGAATGAATTGCGACAAGACGCGATCCGACGCACATTACACCACCCCCCGCACACCCCCACCCCCCCCACCGCGTGGAGGCTTTTGATATTTTTTTTTTACGGTTGAAAGGCTTCGGTTTAAAAGTAAATCACATCAAACCTCGCGTGCTCTCGCGAGGTGGTAGAACAAATGCAATGGAGGCAGCTAATTTTCCAACCGGGTTGTTCCTCATTTTAAGCAGTTATTTATTTCATTATACTAATATCGCTGAAGATTTCTATTTAAATAAACGTGATGAGGTTTTTTTTCAAGACACTTGCTCGAAAGAATCTGCACCATCGGTTAATTTCAAAGGACTACAGGCTTCCAGTTTAGTAAAAAAAAGGAAACAATGTTTTTTCATCATATTCTTGGTTCTTTCGGTAAATTCACGTAGAAGGGAAACAATAAATAATAAAAATATAAAACAAATTCTCACGACGTTTCGACTGCAACACAATCAATCATCATCAGGTGTGAAAACCACAGCAATAATTTTTTTCCTTCACATTTTCTTGCTACCTGATGATGATTGCTTGTGTTGCAGTCGAAACGTCGTGAGAATTTTATTGTTTTTCATATTTTTATTATTTTATTGTTTCCCTTCTACGTGGTGACTTTACCGAAAGAACCAAGAATATGAATCCCTGCAGTCACGAAAGCTTTAAATCAAAATGTGTATCATCGGTTACATTTATGCCTCCCCTTAATAGCCCTTTATATCCTCCCGCTAAACAGATTACGTGCCCATTTGTGAAAGCACATTGTTGAAATCGAATAAAAGCATTCGAGTACACATCAGTTGATTGCTATCTTCACTAAAATGGCTTGATAATTAAAACCGAAAATGCTGAATACACGCACGTGAACGTGCACGCCAGAGAAGGCGCCAGTCAGTTTTGACAACACGGAGACGAACTGCTGATTCGCATAAGCCCAACACGTGGCCACACGGCCGATTATTCCGTCCCCGCCACTGCCGTTCGTCACAACGTCGGACGACTTCGCGCGAGCCTTTGAGAAACGAGGTCACATCGTCGCCCTGCTCGAACAAGAAATAGGCACTGGCCCATCTCTTTCAGAGGCCCTGAGCCATCGGTGGAACTTCCTCATTCCCATGTCAGGGGAGTGCCACGCCATCGGACGGTGAGATGACAGGTGGACGGTTATGACAACGTGACATTGACCTGTGCAGCCATGTCCAACCTCAGGAAAACACGGTGAACTCTATAAACAGAATACTCTGATCTCTGTGCATCTGTAGGAATCACAGTGAATCTGAGAATCAGAATATGTGTTGATACTGGAGGAATGCGATGAGCTATAAAGCCCGTTTTCTTCAGATGGCCAGGAGTCTACTTGCTTACTTTTGACCAGAAAGAAATACGCATACGCACAAAA